ATGGTTGTGCAAACGGCTTAGCCTCAGTGCCTGGCATATGGAACTGCTCAGTAAGTACTGGCCACTGTTTTTAATAAATAGGGGAAAGAAGGCTGGGACTCCCCCCTCGGCCGCCTTTCATGCTTTAGCAGACTCTGTTCACATCCCCGCCCCACCCCCGCCCCAGCCTTTCTTTTGGGAATCTGAAGAGGCCTTGGTGCCTGGAGCTCCTAGAGGAGATGGCTGACCCCAAGAGAACCGGCAGGGTGGTAATGACCTGCTTCTTCTCTTTTGCAAACGCTGTAAGTCCCCAGTTCCCAGAACCCTTAGGGTGCTGAGGCCAGCCCTGCTGCATCCCAGAACCACCCCCACAAACCAGGTCTATGCGCAGGCACCATGGACAGCACCTGTCGACCCAGGGGAAACAGCTGCCTTTCTGCTCAGTGGTGGGGGCTGAACAGGTGAAAGGCGTCCCCGGGAAGCCTCCCCAGGCCCCCCCCAGGCCCCCTGGGACTCAGATAAAGAAAGTCCGGGAGACCAGAGGGCTGACGGGGTGGTATCAGTTTCCAGGGTAGCAAAGAAACTTGTTTGTGTGGCTGCCAAACCCACAGAAAGGGAGGATGGTGGGAGGGGAGCTAAGGGAGAAGAGTAAGGAAGTGGTGACCCACTCCCCACCCCGAGGGCAGAGCCCCAGTGAGATGGCCTGTGAGATGCCCTTGACCTTGGCCTCAGGGCTACCAACTTGTACGTATGAGCTTTTCGTTGTGAGGCCCTCCTGGCAAGAGGGCAGGCTTGGCTCAGTGTTCCTGCTGGGCAAACAGCTCTAGACACAGGCTTGTGGGGTGGGGGTGGGAGTGGTGCAGGGGGTCCACGGTGGTGTCATCTTGGGCAAGTACAGGTGGCCAACCCTTGTTGAGAACTTCCTCTGCGCCAGGCACTGTATCCACTCATTTAATCCTTGCAACAACACTCTGGGGTGGGTACTATTATTGCCCCCAATTTACAGACTAGGAATCCAAGATCATCCAGGTATGTTAAGTAACTTGACTGAGGTCACCCAGCTAGCAAAAAGCAGAGCTGTCTGAGTCCATACAGTCTGCCTCCCGAGAGCATAACCTTAACCACATCTCTGTGCCATGTTGCCATGTTGCTTTCCTTCGGGAGCCTGAGCTCAGCAGGTACCTGCTTACATGTTCAATAGCATGATTATGTCATCAGTGTCGATCTTTGCTGTGAGACGGAAGGCATGGACCTTGCCTGCTTTTCTCTGTGGATTCTCCAGCATCCTGCCCACAGTAGGTGCTCAATCTGAACCCAATCAAATGGGTGATCTAATCAATCCATCAGTCTTTGAGCCCTGCCCTTGGCCCCCACTGCTTAGGGCACAGGGCTCGTCTCCCGTCTATGCCTGGACCAGCATCCCGGTGAGGACTGCTATTGCCATGGTGACAGGAGACCATCAGAGCCAGTGGCTCACTCAGGTGGCCCTGTCAGCTCCCTGGGTATAAGCCTTCCTGGCTGCTGGTCCTGGGAGTTAGTGATTCATACTTGGCAGGAGGCTGAGGTAGATATGGAGAATAAAAGGATAGGTGTGGGTGGAGGGGGGATGTGTTGGGGGAGGGTCCCCAAGCTTGAATGTGTACCAGTTGGAGAGTATTTGCCTGCTGGTTTGTTGGAGAAGATGCCTGGGTCAGGGAGAGGGGATATTTTATGTGCTGGAGACAGATTTCAGGTTGGGGATGGGCAGTATGGCCATGACTGGGGCAAAGGTGCTGAGTGGGGAGGCCCAACTGGGTGTTCCAGGGTTGATAACCCCATTTTTCAAACAAAAACCAAAGCACATCATTCAACAAGGGGCTTCTGGTTTGTGAATGATTTATAGGAAAAATCTTGCAAAGATAAAAATTGAATCACATTTAGTTAAACATTTGAGAGGTTCCTTTATTGGGAAGAATAAATTTATATGGAAATTTGGAATGATGGGATGCTAGCCCTGGAGCTGGGGAGGCCGGGCCCACGCTGGTGGCGGGGGGCGGGGGGTGGTGACGGGTGACAAGAGGCTTTGAGGTGTTGCCTCAGGGCAGCCCTTCAGCTCAGTATTAGGGGCTCAGAGGACACAGCGCCCACCTGCGATGTCCATGCTTCACCCCACCTCAACCCTGATCACCCTGTGATGTGAATGCCTGGTTGAGGGCTGCATCCCCTGCTAGAATGTGTCCCTGGCACATCATAGGAGCTCGGTAATTGTCAAATGGATTAGCTAATGACAAAAAGATGAAAGCATGCATCCCCTTGTTTGCCCGGCAGCAGAATTCCTGGCTAAAGAAAAAGCCCTTACACTCATGCGTGTCTCTGCCTCCTTGCAGCCCTGTCCTCCCCACTCCACGCACTCAGCGGGAAGGTACCCAGGTTTCTCTATGGCTACGGGAAGAAGCTCAAGACAAGGGGGAGGCTGGAGTGACGTCCCATCCCTGGTCAAGCCCCACATCAGATCCCCAAAGCCCACAATCAGAGCTGCACGGGCTCCGCAGTCATCAGCTGCCTCTCCCCTGCCTCGGCCAAGCCCTGCGGCGGGCTGGGAGGACAGCGGAGGGCAGCTTCCAGCCACCAACCCGGTAGATATGGGATGCCTTGCCAACCAGCAGAGGTTTGGCCGAGAACAGTCCCTGTCCCCAAGTCTAAAGTGAGAAGAGGACATTGTCTGCTCTGTGTTTTCCCTGGTCGACTGAAGACACGATGTGAGCCCCTAACTGTGCACAGATCCCTTGAGAGCCGGGGCCACGGGTGAGTGAGGAGATCCAGTAGTTTCTACCTGTGTGTGTTGAAAGCCTGAGGATCCGATCACACCTATGGAATCAGTGTCCATCAACCCCTTCCCCAGTCCTGCCCATCATCCAGGGCCCAGCTCAAGCCATACTTAGCGAGTACTTACTTTGTCCGGGAACTGTTCCAAGCCTGCATACATACTGTTTTTCACTCTCATTTAATTCTTATAACCTTATGAGCGAGATCCATTATTATCCCCCTTTTACAAATGGGGAGACCAAGACATAGAGGGGTTAGGTGAGTTGCCCAAGGTCACACAGCTGCTACACAGTGGGGCAGGGGATGAATGCCACCTCCTCTGTGAAGCTTTCCTTCCTTGAGCCTTCCCCTGTGTGAACAGTCTCTCCCTGCTGAGAACTCAGAGATGCTACATCTCCTACGTGTCAAAGCCCCGTCATCAGGCTGCGAGTGCCTCCCTCCCCATCCCCCACACCACCAAGCACAGGGTCCGGCCAGAGGACATGCGCCCTGGAGATCGCGGACTCTGTAAAGGAATGGCAGCGTGTGCGTATGTGAACGAACCAACAAGCTGGTTAATGAGGGCAAGAGAAGAGCGGAATTGGGATCTGCCCGCGTGAATTCGCAGCCTGGTGGGAAGGGCACCAGGACAAGTGTGGGGGCCGCAGTGGGCTGGGAGCAGCGATCCTTTAGGAACCTGCTTGCCACTGGGTGCCCAGCACTGGCCAGGCTCCTTGAGGGGCAGTCATGAAAGGCCCCCGTCTTCAGGCTGGCCGGGAAGACCGCATGAACACACGGGCAGCAATGGGAGAGAGAACAGAGCAGTAGCGACTGCCCGTGAACACAGAGGGCCAGCCAGAGAAGCAGGGCCACCTTCCTGGAGGAGGAGGAGGGGTGGCCCTGTGTGGGAGGATAGGAGGTGTGGCCAAGAGAGGAAGGTGGACACGGAGACAAGAGGAGGCAGGAATGGACATGGTGATTTGGGGAAACTGGGGAGGCCCCCAGGGGGACACGGGGTGCCTATAGAGGGAAGCATAAAATGAAGTCGGTGAGGGAGAGAGGGGTGGACACAGAGGCCTCAGTCCCCACCAGCATCACCTGTGTGTGATTTTTGCCAGTACTTTAAATATGCACTTGAAGGTTTTTTTAAGTTTATTTATTTATTTTGAGAGAGAGAGAGAGAGCACCTGAGTATGAGGCAGGAGGGGCAGAGAGAGAGAGGGAGAGAGAGAATCCCAAGCAAGCTCAGCATGGAGCCCAATGTGGGGCTAGAACTCACGAGACCGTGAGATCATGGCCAGACCTCAAGTCAAGAGTCGGACACTTAACCGACTAGGCCACTCAGGTGCCCCTGTACTTCAGGTTTTGATAAGTACTTAAAATAAAGGCTTGTTCTTAAAATCGAATTATATTTATTGTACAAGGGAATTGTACCACTGCTATGTAGAAAATCAGAATAGGATAGAATGGAATAGAATAGAACATGAGCCTAAAAATAACCAAGCAAAGTGGGCTCCTGCTTTAGTCCATTCGGGCTCTATGACAAAATACCAGGGGTCGTACGGCTTACGGACAGCAGACATTCATTTCTCTGCTGGAGGCTGGGAAACCCAGGGTCAGAGCACCAGCACGGTCAGGGAAGGGCCCTCTTTCCGGTTGGCAGAAGGGCACTTCCTCACTCTGTCTTCACATGGTGGAAGGAACGTGGGATCTCTTGGGCTCGCTTTTATCAGAGACCAGTTCCACTCAGGAAGGTTCCACTTCACGACCCACGCACCTCCCAAAGGTCCACCCACTAATACCGGCGTGTTAGGGCTTTGGACGTCCCCATATGCATTCTGCAGCGGGGGGAGCAAGCATTCAGACCCTCGCGGTTGCTGAGTCCTGGCTGCGTGCTGCTCCCTTTGGAAGGCTCCCAGCCAGAAGCCTGCTCTCTCGGTGAAAAAAGGAGCAAGTGTTAAGAGAGATGCCAAAGGCATACTAGCACCAAACCAAGGCTTCCCCCTTGACTCAGTCGGAGAGACGGAAGAAGACTGAAGAGCTGAAAGTCGTCACTCTGCAGGTCACTGCTGGCTGTGCCTGGGCCCTGTCCTCCAGAACCCTTCCCATTACTCCTTGAGCCAGCGTCCGCGTTGTTACTGGTTTGTCCCTAATGCACAGAGAGGAGCCCTCACCGAAGCCCACGTCCACCTGCCCTGGGCCCCAGGCATACCTGGAATGTTACTCTCTCCTTGCAGGGAATACCAACAGCATCTTCGCCCTGGACTACATCAGTGGAGCGCTGACCTTGAACGGCCTACTGGACCGGGAGAACCCCCTGTACAGCCATGGCTTCATCCTGACCGTGAAGGTGAGAGCCCGGGGGCGGGCACCTGCAGCCCGTGTGGAAGGGTGCCCACACTGCGGTGCCAGCCTCCAGCAGTGCCCCCGGTGAAACTCGAGGAGGGCAGCGCCCCTGGCCTCCCACCCGGCGTGCCCAGGGCCGCTGTCAGGAACGGACAACACTAGCCAAGCACAGGCCACATCGGGGGCCTTGCTGGGCACCTCACAGCCATTGCCAAAAGTCACATAGGATTGGGACTTTTCTCCCCACTTGAGGAATGAGGGGACACACAGTAGGTGCTCATCCATGGGGCCACGTTCTGGTACTCATGATGCCAAGTTCTCCATCGTAGCTGCCTCAGATTCTTACGTTTACCCCCTGTCTGGGATGTGTCCCGCTTCTAGCTTCCCCGGGGCTCTTCCCTGGTTAGGAAGCAGCAGCACAGTGGGGAGAGGTGGAAACTGCTAAAGTCCTTCCCCTAGAGGTGTAGTGGAGCCACAACCCCCAGGCGCCTGTAACCCCCTGCCACCCAGGACCCGTTATAATTAAAACCTGTGCTTTGCAGAGCCATTCCCTGGGAACCCCATTTAGGGTATGGACCCTACCTGGGCCACAGGGGTCCTCCCCAGCCCTACCCATCGGTTGAGGCAGGGGAGGGCACAGGACTGAGGAGAGGGGCTTGGGGAAGGAGGCCCTTCCATCCTGAGGAGAATAAGGCAGCCCAGCCTGGCCCTCGATTGCTCTCCTTGACCTTGGGAGGGGCTGCAGCAGCGGCCAGTTGATTAGCCCTCCCTGGCCAGCCGGCTTCTCTGTCTCCACCCAGTGTAGACATGTGGGCCGGTGAGGGGAGGTAGGCTAACACCGCCTTTCCCCCCCACCCTGCATCAAGCTGCCAGCCAAGCCGTGGGCCCCTCTCCGCCTCCCTTCCTCTCTGCTTGCTTCCTGTGGAGGCACACATTTCGGGGTGGAGAGAGCTGTACCCTGGCCCCAGGGGACACTGAGCTCGGTTTTTCCATCTTTATATAAAATGTGAGGGTGAGTTCCCAACTTTGGATGTGACTCCAAATCTCCTGGGGAACTGGCGAAAGGTACTTAGTCCTGGGCCTCCCACGCAAAGATTCGGGTCCAGAAAACTGGAAATGGGTTTTTGGGAGCCGGGGGCCTCTGCCCCAGAGACTAGGCACCCAGGGATTTGAGCCCATCTTTCCTGAGCCCGACCCAGACCCTCATGGCACCTAGCTCAGTGTTTGGGCCATAGCCGATGCCAGATTAAGTCTTGATTACCTGCTAGCACAAAAACGCTTAGCCTCGGTTTTATCATCTGCCGCATTGAATAAAGAGTCTCCCTTTGCCCCTCAGTGAGCCCCCAAATCTGTCTTGTCATCACCATGCCCCCTCGTCCCCTTGGTTCTGGAATCCTCCTGCCTCAGTTTACTACCTACTCTGACTGCTGTCCTTATGCAAGTTACTTAACCTCTCTGAGCCTCGGTTTCCTCAACGGTAAAATGGGGACGCCTATGACAGAAACTTCCTCCTGGGGTTGTGGTGAGGGGATGGGATAATTCACGTAAAGCACAGGAGATAGCATTGGGAAAGCCTTCGTAAATGATGATAGCGTGACTATGGACGCCTTCATCTCTGGGATGTTTGTCCTCTACCTGCAGGGCACAGAGCTGAATGATGACCGCACCCCGTCCGATGCCACAGTCACCACAACCTTCAACATCTTGGTTATCGACATCAATGACAATGCCCCGGAGTTCAACAGCTCTGAATACAGCGTGGCCATCACTGAGCTAGCCCAGGTCGGCTTTGCTCTACCCCTCTTCATCCAGGTAGTGGACAAGGACGAGGTGAGTCCCGGGAATGCGTGGTCTCTCCAGACCCCCCGCCCTTTCTGGGCTTTGCAACCCTGAGAAAGATGCCAGGTATTTCTAGGCTTCCAAGTCCCCAGCTAAAAAAAATAGAAACAAACGTTGCTACCTCCTCCCCTGCAAAACTCAGCAGTCTCTAAAGCTTTGACCCCCGCCCCCACCTCTGCAAAAGCTATTTGAGCACACACTTCCAACGTGTAGTTCTTCATTTAGTCATTTATTTAGTAATGTATTTAGAAATATATGCCCATCGGAGCACCTGGGTGGCTCAGTCGGTTAAGCGTCTGACTTCAGCTCAGGTCATGATCTCGCGGTTTGTGAGTTCGAGCCCCACGTCGGGCTCTGTGCTGACAGCTCAGAGCCAGGAGCCTGCTTCGGATTCTGTCTCCCCCTCTCTCCGCTCCTCCCCTGTTCACTCTCTCTCTCTCTCTCTCTCTCTTTCTCTCTCTCTCAAAAATGAATAAACGTTGGGGCGCCTGGGTGGCTCAGTCGGTTGAGCGTCCGACTTCGGCTCAGGTCATGATCTTGCAGTCCGTGAGTTCGAGCCCCGCGTCAGGCTCTGTGCTGACCACTAGAGCCTGGAGCCTGTTTCAGATTCTGTGTCTCCCTCTCTCTCTGACCCTCCCCTGTTCATGCTCTGTCTCTCTCTGTCTCAAAAATAAATAAACGTTAAAAAAAATTAAAAAAAAAATGAATAAACGTTAAAAAAAATTAAGAAATATATGCCCATCTTACTAATCTAGTACGTGCCTTATAAAGCATACACTGAAAACTAGAAATTTTAAAAGTTGGAGGCTCTTGTATAAAATCTGTTTCTGGAAAAAAAAGTTTGTTTTCTGCTTTTGGTGTAGTGAGGACTCCTGCTTTTCCATGCGAGGAGCTTGAATGTTTTCAAGGAGATCCCAGGCCGCAGGAGACCAGAGGTCCAGGAAGCTAGAAATGGGACACACCCATTGTGTGTCCTTGCAGGGCCTGCCTGGCTGAGGCCAGTCTTGAGAGGAAGGGACATGGGCTGCGAGTGAGGGAGAACTTGAGAAGGACAGGAGGAGGGAGACTTGGGGATGGGGCGCGTGCCCCTCCAGGCCGGGATGGGACGGGCTTCCGAGCTGATGGGGATGCTCTCGGCCTGCCTCCTCCCTGCCCCTCTCAGGCACCAGGTCTCCCCTGCCCGTCAGCAGCCACAATCGTTAATAGCACTTATATTTATTACCACTGTTCCCTGGCCCATTCTGCTCAGGAATTCCATTAGGTTTTCCAGCCTGAGGGGCTTCTCTGCAATTACTCCTCCCTTCTTGGGGCTCCCGCACTGGCCTTGCTCCAGGCCTGGCTTCCTGCTCGCTCCTCCTGCCCCTCTCCACTCTGGCTGCTCAACAAACCAGCACACCTGCCCAGGGGCCCCCCCTCCCACGATCCACCGCTCTCCTGTCAGCTTCTCTCAACCGGACAAGGTCCTCCCCCTCCTGCCCTAACCCCCCAGCCCCCTTCCCCGGCACCAGCTCACCCCCGTCCCTGCCCTGCTCCGCCCACCCCACCAAGGACATGACCGTGAAGAGGTCAGTCCCAGTGTGCGCGCGGGCATGCACACACAGCACATCTTTCCATCTCTTGCTAAATCATCCCATACCTAGCTGTCTGGATAACTAAAGTATGTACTGAGCACCTCCTGTTTATAAGGCGCTATATATTTGGCCCCTTGAGGGAGTGTAGCCCACGGTCACTGTCCTAAAGGGCCAAGCGTGCTTATACAAGGGCAGTATGTAGTTTCGAAAATATACGCAAAAATGTCAAAAGTTTAAAAGGTGGAGATAGATAGGTATAAAAAGAAGTTCCAACATTTTCTCACACCCCAGGGGGTCATCTTTTATCCCTCTGGAGTGCAGCACCCCCTTTAGACACCGCTGTGTGAGTGAGAGCCTCAGGAAAAGTCCCATCTCTGGTTTCAGGCTATCACTGATGTCCCAGAGAACAGAGACACTTGGTACCAGGGTGCGGGCCAGTGACAACGAGCAGCGAGGGCTCCAGAGCTCCACTGAGGAAGGGGGAAGAAGGGGCCAGAGGACCAGCAAAGGCTCTATGGTGAAAGGGGGCCCAGGGCTGAACCTTGGGACACAAATAAGATGGTAAAAGGCAGCCAGGAGGGCTGGTGGGGTGGGCAGTGGCCCACGGAGAGGCCCAGAGGAAGGAACCTGTACAAAGGTTTGTGGAGTCGGCTGGTGGGAAGGTGGGCCAGGACACAGGCTTTTAGGGCCTTGAATGCCAAGCCAAAGAACTGGGGCTTAATTTTGGAGGCAACCCAGAGAAGAGGCAGCTTGTGTAGTGGTTCATGGCCCAAGCTCTGGAGACAGACGGGGCCTATGTTCAAGTCCAGCCTTGCCATTTGCTAGCTCTGCGACTTTGGGTGAGTCATTGACCCTTTCTGAGTGTGGCTTTGCTCATCTGTGTGAAAATGTATGTTTCTATCGCAGTGACAAATTAACCCTGAAACAGAGGGTTGTTTTTTCCTCAGAGATTTATTACTACTCGTCTGGCACAGGTGGGCAGGGGGACCCCGCTCCGCGTCGTCGCTCAGGTGCACGCTCTGCGGTCACGTCGGTCACTGCAGGAGGGAGGGGGCAGCTAGAGGAGGAAGCACCAGCTCTTCTAGGCTTTGTCCTGGGACTTCTGCCCAGTTCTAGGGACGGGCCCCACCTCACTGCCAGAAGGCTGGGGACGTGGACAAGCGGCTCCACGTTTGCGTCTGCCACAGAGAATGCCAACAAGGCTCAGAGATAGATCAGACCATTAGTCTATAGGACTTAGCCCAGCACATGCCACCCACCCAGATGTTAACCAGATGGGTCCAGGGAGCATTGCCACCAGCAGGGCCAAAAACCCCAAGGCCCTTTCACCATGACTGGTTGGGGGATTTCAAGGTCACCCGGACCCCTGGGGTTTAGCTCAATCCTGCTTTGCTGGCAGCCCTGTCCGAAGCATCTGCAGGAGTGCTGAGGGGTGTCTGGGTCCAGCCTGCCTCTAGTGGCCACCCCCCTCCCAGGCACGGGCAACAGCATGCCCGCTGTGGACAGGGTGCCCAACACTACCAGCGACCATTTCACCGCTGCCCGGGGGAATCGACCAGTGTGTGACAGTAAAGGGCTGGCCCCATGTCTCCAGGGCACGGTGAGGTGCAGAGAACCACTGATAAAGAAGGGCAGCCCAGAAGCCCAGACTCCCCACCCTACGGTCTTCTGGGTCACCGTCCAGCCTCCCCCAGGAGAGCTACACCTAAACCATCCCAGACATGGTCCTGGACCGATTCCTAAATAAGAGGGGAGAATAAATTGCTTTCTAAATTGCCCTGCTCTTTTGTACCTCCCATCTCTCCTCCACTCTCCAGAATTCTGGAAGGATCCAGATCTGGATGGGGTAAATGCTCCCAAGACGCAGTCTTGGGTGCTGAGGGTCGGGCCCCAGGTTCCCAGGGTGGAGCGTTTAGCCACATTGCCAAGAGGGAACAGAAGGCAGCGGCCACCGGCACTCGAGCACTGGCCAAGTTTCCAGAATCTGGGGGAGATCAGGGAACCTCAAAGAGAAATCAGGCATCTTTTATAAAAAGAGATTTTTAAAAATGCGTCCTTTCTTCCAGTTCTCTTTTGCGGGGGGAGAATGCATCTGTTGGGATTTGTGTCTGGGGTGAAGGTGACTGGATTTGCTAGGGTGACAGAAAAATGTGTTCATCGAGCCGGCTTGGATGGAGGAGGGAAAGGAGCACGAGGAGAGGTGAAACCCCTTTGTCGGGGGTCTAAAGAGCCACGTGATTCTCCCCCGCACTCACCATCGTTGTGGGTTTATAGTTACTAATGTGATGATCTCAATAGTATCTATCTCCCCGATTAGACTGAATGATGCTCCCCGATGTAACCCAGTGCCTCACACTCTACCTGGCACCTGGGAGGCACTGCAGAAATACGAACTGGTTCAATTAAAGCATGATTAAATGATAAAAGTAGCAATGAGGTGGCTCCGGGCTTTATCCAAACTAGATCATCGGTCAGTGCCCCTGTGCTAAAGGCCCAATTCCCGCTGAGTTTCTGTGAGAAGGTGACCTCAAAGTTCCACAGTGGGGCAGTAGAGGGTGCCGATGGAAAACAGAAAGGGAAGGAGGAAGCAGTTTATCCCGTCAGTTAGCACTTTGTGGCAGTCGTTCCTAGTAAGGATGCTAATCTAACTCACAAAGACTAGATAATGCCACCATCCCCTCCACATGGGAGATTTTGCCCAGTTTCTTGCTGAATCTCAGGCTCTGCAGGAACATTCAAGACCACAAAGGTGCTTGAAAGAAGCCCTTTCTGTCTCCCAAGGACTCCGTCCCCATTGTCAAGTCCCGCTGAGTAATTTCTTCTCTTTTGCCCAGCTATAGGAAACTCACGGAAGCCAGAGAGGGAAGGGATAGGGTGGGCTGAAACCACTAACAACCCCTTTGCACAGCATGACAGTTGAGATGCAAATAGATGGTTGTAATGCAAATCACAAAAAAAAAAAAAAAAAAAAAAAAAAAAAAAAAACTCTCAAGGCAAAGGCCCCAGGAGTCAGCCTTGGTGTGGAGCGCAATCTCTGAGTTTCAAATTAAAGGTTGTGGCAGCCTCATTCCCCTGCTCCTGGCTACTGGGCGTTCTCCTGTGTCTTCCTCGGTGTTCTGGAAACCCACAGGAAATTAGCAACACACTCACCCACTGGGATTCCTACCGTATCCCCACCCACCCCCTTGGCCGCAACATGTTCTTTTGTGTTTTCTCCAGTTTGGTCGGCTTTTCCTCTCCCAATCAAGCCTGCAGCCCTCCCCACCCCGTCCTGCCCACAGCTGAGCCAGCCGGCCACGTTTTCCCATCTGCACGGGGTGAGCTTATTAGGATGGTTGGAATTTTCTGTTCCGTTGTCCTAAATTCCACTCTTCTCCTTAGAAGCAATCAGATCCTCTGCGTTCTGCGTCCTGCCTGTGC